ATTTATTTATTTATTTATTTAATATAAATAAATATGGACCCATGGATCGTTCCTCACCCCCATACTGGAATCTTGCTGTATAGGGTAAAAATCTCTCATCTGTAATGTGCAAGACAGTCTACTCATTGTGAGAGCTGCTTCCATTGCAATCTGGAATGATATATTCTGCTAAATAGCTTTGCTAAGGACCCTCAGAAGTGCCTACAAAAAGACAGTGCTTTCTTAAATGACCTGCAGGAATAATTAATGCACTTTCACTGAGGTAGTACAAGCTTACAACCTGTCAAGACCTCTGGACTGCAAGCTCCACTGGCCTCAGCACTAACTAAACAATCACTTGGGACAAATATACTGTGTTTCTCCAAAAATAAGACAGGGTCTTATATTAATTTTTGCTCCAAAAAACACATTAGGGCTTCTTTTCGGGGGATGTTTTATTTTACAGTCATATCTTCTGGTTGCTGCACAATGATGGAGGGCAGGGTTTCACTTAACTAGGGCTTATTTGGGGGGTAGTGCTCATATTACGAGCATCCTGAAAAAATCATACTAGGGCTTATTTTCAGGGAAACAGGGTATTCCTGAGTATTCTTGATTCTCTGAACACCTTGGAAGTTGCTAGAGAAAGGAGACGGCAACATGAGAGGTGGAAACAAGCCAGAGCATGGCCCAGAAGACGCATGACTTGATTCTTTACAGACATGGGAGCATCACTGGAGAGATAGAATACCATCTTTCTACAAAACAAGACTAGGCGTTCTCACCAGTGGGCCCTTTGGTTCATATATTCGTTGCTTCCCAAATGCCTCTGTCACGTTTTCATCTGTCAAAAGGCATAGAAAAAGCAGGTGTCAAAATAAGATTCCTTCCTGACTCCTGCCAACCCCATGAAAGTTGATGCTACCTAGTCCAAAGTCCACCGTGGCATACAGCCCTTGCAATGTCCCACATCGGAGCTCAGACTCTTTGGTGCCATCTGTGGTGAAAAGCAGAACTTCCTCCCCCAGGTAGGAACGAAAGACAGCCAGCAGATGGCGCAGATAGTTATAATCACAGGCAAAATAGCTCCCGTATTCATTCTCCACCTGCCTGGAGAACAGCAGGCATTAAAGAATTGTGACTCAGAGCCCTCAAACCTGAAGGAACAATTCTTTGTACAAGTGCATCTGAACAGCTTTAATAGTGTGACAGATCTTAAGCAATGGCTTAATGTGCATGATTCTTGTTTGGTACCCAGTTTGCCCCTGCCCCTGCCAAGCTCCAGCTGCCGTCCATCAATGCTGTTGTGCCTTCCTCTGTTCCTATTGCCTCCTATGGAATGTTTCCTAGGCCAAAGATGGATGGACATAGAATAGCTGCCCACTACCATTTTCAATGCAGCTACCACTGCATTGCTGCTACCAACATTTTCTCTAGAAAGCAGAGCCTGTGAAATGCTGCACGCACCTGGACACTAATTATGTTGCCTCCATTGTGGTAGAGATGTGGCTTAATTTTCGGGAGCAGGACACCCAACCATTTGTCCACAGCCTGCAGGAAATCTAAAAGAAGAAATCAGCTTACTTAGCTAAAAACTAGGCCACCACTGACCAATTCCAAATGCAGTTCTAAGACAAGATTTAATAATTGTGGCCATAACTCCCAATATCCCCAGCTGTTAATTCATTGGAGCAGATAGGGTCCAGTGGCATCTGAAGGAAAACATTCCTCACCCTCATCAACAGAGTTCAGACTGAGAGCACCAGAACCACTCCTCTGATTAAGCTGTTCCATCTTACCTGGATTAGATGTGCGTAGGACAATATCTGGCTCTGTCAACAGCCAAAATGGAAGACCACCCTACAAAAGAAAAAGAAACACCCTTGAAAATAAGCTACGACTGTGGAGATCCTTACAGTCTAGTTCAGTCAATAAGGAATAGTGAAACTCATCAGAAAGTAAGAATCCACAGAGGCAAAAACAGGTTTGTGATCTATTATCATAAAATAAGTTGAATTTCTGGCAGCTTCTGGAAGAAAAATATACAGCTCAGCATGAAGAAAGATTAAGTGATAATTAGTATACAAAGGAGAGTGTAGTATGTTAATTACTGGTTTTGGACTAGGCTGAATTCCAACAAAATCAATTATGTGACTTCTGATGAAGACAGAAAGCTTTACAAGGTTTATTGTACAGAGGCTGACATGGACACAGCATGATACATTACAACAAAAAGAAGCTTGATGAGGGAGACATGTGCTGGGAAGCCCCCAAGTCCAGCTGGCTCTTATCCTTTATTAAAGCATGGCACTCTACAGATGACCACTCCCTCATATGGCACAAGGGCTATCACAATGTGAGCAACCAAAAGGGCTTTTATATGCTAAGCCTACTCATGCTAAAATTGGCAGGGAGGGATAGAAGTCACTCCTTGGGAGTGGGAGAAGGATCAGATATGTGTTGATTGGTGGGAGATGGATCAGGTATGTGCGGAGTGGCACAAACTCCTTCTCTGACCAGGTCAGTAGGTCATCATCTTGGTAAGATAAGCCACTCTTAGAAATCAATGTCTGTAAGTAAAGGATGTGGCATGCAGATTTTTTCTGCGCTCATCTCTCCAATTAACTAATGAAATAAGTCCCATGGAATTATATATTAATGTGTTTTAGATAGTAAAATGCCAATCCAATACAGAAAGTAACCATGTGGGTGGGTGGGATAAACTCTGAAAGTAAGCCATAACCAATCTGAATCTTCTGCACAACCCTTACCATTTCCCATTCAGCACAGATATAGGGTCCAGGTCGCAAGATCACTAAAAGACCTAAGTTGGCCACAAGGTCCAGGAATCCCTCCAAATCTCTATCACCAGCAAAATTGTAAACACCAGGCAATGGCTCATGATAGTTCCAAGGCACATAGCTGAGGGGTGAAAGTACATATTTCAGTCTGGAATAATAATCTAGGACAAGAAGCATATCCCCTAGGAAACATCTGTGAATAAACAGGCACTCTCTTATACCTCTGGCCCCAATCCCTCCCCCCTTTTTTTCCTTTTTAGTACATTGACATCCTTTGCTTACTATATGACTAAAGATGAGATGGAATAAGACAGCGGATGAACATACTTATATCTCCCCAGTTTTCAAATTGGGATCAAACTGACATAAACGTTTTTCAAACATAAAGGAAAGGTGGCAATAACAATCAGTCTCTTATTTCACTGCCTTTTTTTGTATACTTGATAGGGTACAGACCTAGTGGCAATAACAGTCTGTTATTTCAGTGCCTTTTTTGTATACTTGATAGGGTACAGACCTGTATATGTCTGTGTGTCTTGCCCACTTTGACTACCAGCTACAAGATGCTTTAGGTCTTGATATGACCACAGGCCTTTACTACTTGGTTCAAACCCATTTTAGCTCAATGTGAACAACCTCTACTTCGAAAATTGTCCAGAGTCTAAAGTGAAGACCTTACATAGAAAAGGCTGGAGTATTTTCAGTGCAACCGTGTAGAAGTACAATAGAGCCCTAATTCCACTTCTGATCACTTACATCTGCACAGCATTGAGACCACTCATGTACATCTTGAGAAGCCGATCCTTCCAATAGGCAGGTGGAATACGAAAGTAATGGATACTGCCTGAGATGTAGCGAAACTTAACACCATCCTTAAGGAAGCAATTATTAGCATAATCAATGCTGAAGGAACGGTCTGCTGAGGTGGCCTGGTATCCAGGGAAAGACAACATGGTTAGTTTGATAAAGAAATGCAACACCTAGCTAGGAGGAACAGATGTGAAAAGGCAAGCCTTGTCTGTGGGTAGAAGTTAAAACTAACACTGACTGTTCTCTGGGATACCTCTGCTGTGTGCTTGTTTTGCAGAGACTTCCAGGACTCATAGAATATCAGTGCTTAAACAAAGCAAGGTACGTATGTGGCATGTACAATATATATGTAAGTATGCACCAAATGTGTTCCCAAGTGCAATCTGGTGGATATAGACATGTTTTATAATACATCCTAAAAGTGCCTTCACATATGTGTATACCTGATCCCATTCCAAATTTTGCAAAATCAAATCCAATGTCCAAGTCAGAATTTGCACCTGAGGTTCAGGGGGTGTAACACCCCCAACGTCCCCCAAAAGCTCCATGACACTACCCATGTAGTTCTGAATTAGGCTCATTTGTTGAATGATATTCCAGAATTTTTCCCAGTGCTATGCTTTCCCTCTATTTGCCAGTATTTACACCAATCTCTAGGCACACAAATGCATGTATGGAGAGACAAGTCTTGCCTTCATTCCCTTTATCTGTTCTGCCTCTGAAATTGTTTGCACTACAGGCTGCTCCTCACTGCTGTATGGTCTGCCAATATGCTTTGCAGCTCAGCATGTAGCGGTTCTCCCCCACTTAGTAAATACGAGTTTTCTTGGTTGTAGAGAATTTTATTTAAAAACAGAAGGGATATACTTGATACTGGGGACTTCCCAGGTAATCAGACCACACCGGAGTCCAGTACTGTAATAAAGCAGTCAGCCCTCTTATAACACGCAGAATAATAGGCTGAGGATGGGTGCTGGGAAGATGCAATGAAAAATTTACTCTGAGATCAACTGTAGAGGGAGAGTGGGCTACAAAAACAAATAAAGAAATACTAAAATTTCCCTGGATACTTTGAGAAACACCCTCCCATTGTGTCTTTCCCCTTTCTTACCTGGAATTTTAGGGACCCTGGCCCCAGCACCACCACTAGAACATACATCCACAGCCCCATTTCTTTGACTATAGCTTCAGACTAGGAAAATGTGTTGCAAGGAGTTAGATCACATGACCAGTTAGTTGGCTGGCCCTGGTACTTCCTCTATATTTCAGAGACAGTCCCTGTGAGTCAGGAAGTAAATAAGTAGAAGAGTTATTTAAAACAGAAGGCAAAGTGCAATATTTCAGCAATTCTATCCCCCGCTAGTGAACATAAATCAAGAAGAGAAGCAACAGAGAAAATATAATGGAGAATTTATTTTCTGTGTAAAATATATATATGTATTTAATATATATTTTTTCTGTTATATTTTCTCTGTGTTGATTCTTTGTCTCTGGTCTCCTTTCAGAGTGAGGTTGGGGCCTCATGGGTTTCTATATATATGGGTTTCTATACATATTTATATAGCAGTAAGAGAAACAAAAGACTTCCTTAAACTGTCCAGAACGTAACTGACAACGACCTTCTAATGTTCAATATCATATGGAAAACGGGAGTGAAAAGGGACAGCAAAATAACGAAGTTTTATTGTCTCTGGTCTCCTTTCAGAGTGAGGTTGGGGCCTCATGGGTTTCTATATATATGGGTTTCTATACATATTTATATAGCAGTAAGAGAAACAAAAGACTTCCTTAAACTGTCCAGAACGTAACTGACAACGACCTTCTAATGTTCAATATCATATGGAAAACGGGAGTGAAAAGGGACAGCAAAATAACGAAGTTGATACTCCATGACATTGCATATCTGTTTACCACTAAATGTGACCAACCAGAGATGTTTTAAAAAGTGTCCTGCTGAGTAGAAAAAACTCAGACTCACTATATCCAATATAGGTCAAATTCTTCAAGAGTCTTTCACTCCTCATACATCAGCAGTACTGGGACACTAGTAAAGTATCTAAATAAATTGAATTAAATTCTGTGACTAGATAGAATCCAGTTGAAACAAGGTGTGGCGCACCCATCTAAACTTAAAAAGTAGAAGAATAATTAAAAACATCTAGTTTGAACTCCCTCTAATAAACCATCTCTGAAGTAAATGCTAAATACTATGAGATAACAAAATATATAAAACAAAATTCATTATCTTCCCTCCCACCAGCAATTAGTTCCAATGATTAATCTGTGCTGATAACCCTGGGAACTGAGTGCTAATATGGATGGCTCTACCATTAACTTCTAGCTGTTCAATTACATTACATTTCCACATTTAATCTGTTATCATTAATCAGATGCAATTTTATTTATTTATTTAAAATATTTTACCTAACCTTTCTCCTTTAAAAAGATGCAAGGAGAATTACATCATTAAAAACACAACATTTAAAAACTAAAAATACAAATATTAAGCAACGATTAAACAAATATGTCAAAAATGGTAAACAGAATCAATACTAAAAACATTTAAAAGTAAAAAACACATAACAATTCTGGACATAACATCCTGCTCCTTCCTGGAGCAGATGTCCACATATTCAAAATGGAGAATGCAGTAGTAATGGGAGATTTCAACTATCCCAATATATGTTGGCAGTCAAACTCTGCCAAGAATAAAGTCCAGCAAATTCCTCATTTGCCTTGCAGACAATTTCATGGTCCAGAAGGTGGAAGAGACAACAAGGGGATCAGCTATTTTAGATCTGATCTTAACCAACAGGGATGACCTTGTTAATGGGGTAGAAGGGGATCCTTAGGTGGGAGTGGCCACACTCTCTTAGAATTTATCATACAGTGGGAAGGGAAGCCAAGTGCAGCCAGACACACATTCTAGACTTTAAGAACGCCAATTTCAGTAAACTTAGGGAATTACTGGCTATAATTTCATGGACAAAGATACCGAAAGAGGAGTTCAGGATGGATGTGAATTTCTTAAAAGGGAGATACTAAAGGCACAATCTAAAACTGTTCCAATAAGAAGGAAAAATGGGAGATGTCTAAAGAAACCAGAATGGTTAACTAAATAACTTTCAACCAAGCTAAGTGTTAAATAAATGGAAAAATGGGGAACATAGCAAAGAGGAATAAAAGCAAATAACCAGTATATGTAGGGGAAAGGTAAGAAAAGCAAAAGTGCAGAATGAACTCAGGCTTGCCAGACAGATTAAAAACATAAAAGGGGCTTTTTTTAGTTATGCCTGCAGCCAAAGGAAAAACAAGGAAATGAGAGGGTCTCTGTGTGGAGAAGATGGCCAACTACGAACAGAGGAGAGGGAAAAGGCTGAACTTCTCAACACCTTGGCCAACTACGAACAGAGGACAGGGAAAAGGCTGAACTTCTCAACACCTTCTTTGCCTCAGTTTTCTCCAAAAAGGAAAGTAGTGCTCAACCTGAGGGGCAAAGAGCAGGTGATATAGTGGGGGAAATGCAGCACAGAATAGGTAGAGAAGTACTAGAAGAATATCTGGCTACTCTAAATGAATTTGTGAAGGCTTTCACGGACGGGATCTAATGGTTGTTGTGTTTTTTGGGGGGGCTCTTTGGCCGTGTTCTGAAGAACAACCTTCAGGACACAGCCAAAGAGCCCGAAAAACCTACAGCAACCATTACTCTAAATGAATTCGAGTCTCCAGAGCCAGACAAATTACATTCAAGGATATTTAAAGAACTGGCAGAAGTCATTTCAGAACCATTGGCAGTAATATTTGAGAATTCTTGGAGAACAGAAGTTCCCACAGACTGGAGGAGGGCAAATGTTGTCCCTATCTTCAAAAAGGGAAGAAAGGAAGGCCCAAATAATTATCGCCCAGTCAGCCTAACACCAACTCCTAGAAAAATTCTAGAGCAGATAATTAAAGTTTATTATTACTTAGAAAGCAATGCTATCATCACTAAAAGTCAACACAGGTTCCTCAAAAACAAGTCATGCCAGACTAATCTGATCTCTTTTTTTGATAGAGTTACAGGCTTGATACAGTACCTGAAGGGAATGCTGTGGATGTAGCATATCTTGGTTTCAGTAAGGCCTTTGACAAAGTTCCCCATGATATTCTTGCAAGGAAGCTACTAAAATGTGGGCTAGACA